ACGCAGCATTAACCTCAGTAGCTAGTCAGAAGCAGACAGGCTACCGCAAGGCAAAGTAGGGCGATCAAAGTAAAGTGAAGCTGAAGGCGTCCTTTGTCTTTCTCCAAGCATAAACCCACCCAGATGTGGGATAAAGAGTGACAGACGACCCATCAGGCCATATAGGTTCTGCATTGCTCACTGGTCCAGGTTTTGTGCTCTTTACACCAGGTTAGGTGTCATGCATTGGCCTTCTGAACGAGAACCATGACATATGCTACAGTACATATGAAGCTCACAACATACAGTTTCTGTTGAGACTGGATCTCAGGGGGGCTGTTTCAGTTCTGTGGTCATTTGGAGTCTGACACCAACACCAACAAACTGAATTTATCAGCAGTTTTGCAGAGTTTTGAGGAAAATATTTTCCACCACGTCATTGGACAATGATGATCTGCACTGAAAAATGATTCAACTAAAGGCGTTTTTCAGAATCAAATAAAAGGAACATTTTATTGCTTAACAATCATCCAAAATAAAGCTTGTTAGAGCCATGGTATAGATAAGAGAATACGATGTTGGTTTTGTGATGTATGATATTATAGAAATGTTTAATTTCATTTGTAATGTTGAATTTCAGTTTAATATTGTTTGTCGGATATGAACAGCTGTCTGACGTCACTTGTTAAGTGCCGTAAATGACAGTAGTGCTGTTTGCGACTGAGGGCGCAACAGTCTTTGAACGTGGCTACAAACATATTGCCTCGATATTGAAAGAACTTTTAAGTTTTTGTACTGTGGTATGTTTACTTACTAAGGAGTTTTGGAAAGGTTAAACAAGTCTCGCGTCAATGACTTTATTTTCCTACAAAGAAGAACGCGGAATATTAGGAACAGCACTAACAAAGCTGGACACTCCCTTTACAGTTCAGCCAGACTACAATGCGTGCATGAAAATTAAAATCACAATTATATCTGAATGAGAAAATTTAACCCCTTATGTGTCAAAATGAAGACATGTAGGAGGAGGTGTGTAAGCGAGTCTTGGAGGGTGGAGTTATCTGGATCACATGACTTGTGGAGGTGTGGCTGAGGTCAGAGGTCACAGTGGGCTGTAATTGACCTCTGAGTAAATGTCAAGCAGCTGTCGTCCGTCACTTCTGTCTTGCACCTATGATACAGTATCACAAATTAATAAGACATCTATGATGTATGATGTCATCTTATGTAAATAGGAAATTGGTGACAGCCAATCAGACAGTGAAGTACCTGCTTCCCATGTGCACCAGCAGGAAGCTGCTGTCCCTCCTCCACAGTCTTATGTAGCTCAGATTCCGTCACACCTGAAGTTAATTATTATTGACACATAAGACAGATACTCAGTATATGCAATTTTATTTATCGTGTTTTGTCCTGTGTTGTGTTTATGGTTTTATATGGGGTTGGGATTAAATACAGAGGCAGTGTGTTAGTTCAGTTTGATTTGGGGCATAAACAGAGATNTTTGTCCTGTGTTGTGTTTATGGTTTTATATGGGGTTGGGATTAAATACAGAGGCAGTGTGTTAGTTCAGTTTGATTTGGGGCATAAACAGAGATACACAGTAACCCAATGTGAGAGACTTTGTGACTATTGGCCTGTCAGGCAGCTACAGCTGACAGGCAGAGACAATGATAGTGAAGCGCTAGGTGACTCACCCTTTTTATGTCCACACATGTACATCAAAACATAGAAGAGTAAGCAGATCAAAGCACAAGCTGCAATGAAGGGGATCACTATGATCATAATGATGATGATCATCGTTGTTTCTGGTGTGGAGACACAGAGAGGCATGGTGCTTTATGTGGATCCATCCGGAGGGCAGGAGGCAGAAGCATGTTAGCCTTGATGTGGGCTTCAATACACACAACAATAGTCACTGGGGGGCGCTGTTTAGCTGCAGAATTTTAGTGCGTGAGGCAGAATTAGGCTGCNATCGTTGTTTCTGGTGTGGAGACACAGAGAGGCATGGTGCTTTATGTGGGTCCATCCGGAGGGCAGGAGGCAGAAGCATGTTAGCCTTGATGTGGGCTTCAATACACACAACAATAGTCACTGGGGGGCGCTGTTTAGCTGCAGAATTTTAGTGCGTGAGGCAGAATTAGGCTGCATGTGGATGCTGGTATGAGATACTGTGATATGACTTTCAGCAAAATCAGACATGATCTGTGTGCTGACAACTTCCTCTGATGGTAACAGAGTTACTGAGATCTTCACTGCACAATGCTGGCCCGTATCAGGACAAAATAAACAATATATAACATGATAAACAAGTGAATCTAATTATCTTTGTACTTAAGTTTTTTTTACTTTGGGGTTTAATAATTGTTTCTCATTAGTAGATTTAACCTTTGATTACCATGCAAACAAACTACGAATAATATATATATTATGTTTTTTAACTAAAACTATCAAATAAAAATGAAAAATAAACCTAAGAAAATATATTTTATTTAGCAGTAGCTAAATATCATTGAGTATAGAGTAGCTCTATAGAACATAATATAAAAATGACAGTACTTATTATTATTATTATACATTACTTCCCTTTTGTGAGCGATGCATGTATGAATTAAAAATTGAATCCCCTTTACCCAATCACTGCCATAAGGATCATTTATAAATACTATAATATACAGTTACCTATGTTCCTATTATCGAAACTTAACATTTATAATATTACAAAGATAGCATGCATATAAGAGCTAATGAAATGTATTTTTGGATGTGATTTTACAAAAATGTGTTTAATGTTTTTGATCATTCTTTATTTTACAATATTATGTTTCGTTTTCTTTCTATTATTCTTCTACTGTTATTTGAGTTATGTGCATACTCACATTACTGCAATGAATACCTGCACTCTTAGCTGTTCTTGAGCTCTTCCATCTGGTCTATTGAAAACTGAGATGTTTTGTGGACCAACAGTAAAGTTCCAGATCAGACTCTTTGATGTTTTTAAGCCAAGGACTATATGAAGTGAATGAGGAGTTCCACACAAAAGCGTATCGAAGAAGAGGAACATGCAGAAATTCTAAGCCAGTAGAGGCTGATTCTCATTAGAGCATTGTCTGTAGCACAAGGCTGGTCTGTCACCTTCATCACACATTTACACCAGTGTTAATTTTGGCAGGACCTCTTTAAATTTTAGTTGAATACCCCTGCCTTACGCGAACTGCATTAGATCTCATTGTATCTCGTCTCGTCAATACACTTTGTTGACGATAACTATGACGAAATTTTTTTGTCAACAAAATTAACACTGATTTACACAGGTCATTAAACAGTATTAAAAAGCATTAAATCAATTTAGAAAAAAAATATGGTTTTAAATAGGACCAGAGTATACAGAAGAGCTTGGTGAAGAAGTGGGATAGCCAAGGAGATGAAGATAATAGAGGGGATTACAAGGAGATGAGGTGTAAGGTGAAGAGAGAGTTGGCAAAAGCTAAAGATATGGGGTATGGCAAGATGTCTGAGAGGTTAGACACTAAAGAGGGAGAAAAGGACCTCTACTGATTAGCTAGGCAGAGAGACCGAGCTGGGAAAGATGTGTAGCAGGTTAGGTTGGTAAGATGGAACCATACTCACAAGTGAGGAGAGTGTGCTGAGCAGATGGAAGAAGTACTTTGAAGAATGAAGAGAATGAGAGCGAGAGAATGTTGGATGAAGTGTATAATAGTGAATCAGGAAATGCAGAGGGTTAACAAGGAGGAAGTCAGACAGCTATGACGAGGATGAAGAATGGAAAGGCTTTTGGTCCAGATGATATACTGTACCTTTGGAAGCAGGGAGGTGTTTAGGTGAGATGGCAGCGGAGTATTTAACCAGATTCTTTAACAAGGAAGTGAGAGAATGCCTGAGGAGTGGAGAAGAAGTGTACTGATACCGATTATCAAGAATAAGGGTGATGTGCAGAGCTGTAGTAACTGCAGAGGGGTGAAGGTGATCAGCCACAGAATGAAGTTATGGGAAAGAGTCGTGGAAGCCTGGTTAAGAAGAGAGGTGATGATTAGTGAGCAGCAGTATGGTTTAGATATGAACACTAAAGATGTGACGTTTGCTATGAGGGTGTCGATGGAGAAGATGCAGCAGGAGTTGCATTGTGTCTTTGTGGACTTAGAGAAAGCATATGACAGGGTACCTAGGGAGGAGCTGTGGTATTGCATGAGGAAGTCAGGAGTAGCAGAACAGTACGTATGTAAGAGTGGTACAGGGTGTGTATGAGGGCAGTGTGACGGTGGTGAGGTCTGCAGTAGGAGTGACGGATGTGTTCAAGGTGGAGGTGGGATTACATCAAAGGTCAGCGCTGAGCCCTTTCTTGTTTGCTGTGGTGATGGTCAGGCTGACAGACGAGATCAGACAGGAGTCCCCGTGGTTATATTGATTAATGTCCATTTCGATTGTTCTGTTTGCTAACACGCTGCTTCGACTACAGGGAACCTTATAACCGTATATCTAAACAAATTTCTGTAACACACAGTGTAGCTTACTGCGGTGAACTTAGCTTTACATTCCAGCTGTAATGTCTTTCAGCAAAAGTAAGCAGGCAGTTTTTAATCACAGATTTTGATGTCAGGCAGAAAAACACACTGATCATTTTTGCGATTACAGCATTGTGCACCAATTTGAATTGAATTGAATTCATTTTTATATAGCGCCTTTCACAACACATGGATGTGTTGTGATACATTAAACATCATCAGAGAGAGTAATAAGGGAAGGAAAGAAATTAAATACAGAAAGCCAGATGACAATGGAGGAGTGGGACCAAAAACTCCCAAGTAAGGAGAAATGTTAGTATGTTAGTATGTGATTAAGAATCAAGCCAAAATCCATCAATGAGTCTGTTAAATAATATTAGTATCTACGAAAAGAGCTGATTTCTGTTGTAATTAGATACTGGTTCAGCATTCTGGGTTGGTAGCTACTCTTGTGCATCCCTTGGTTTTCCCTGTTTCTTTACAGGCAGATATTAAACAGGCTACATATAACAGTACCCACCTTCAAAACTTTAAATAAATGTGTAAATAAATACCTTGTTTGTGTTT